GCGCCTAACAGCGGGACACACTGCTGAGCCCTGTGCTCACCCTCACAATGGATGTTGTAGCTGAGCTCACTGCAGCGGGCTCCGTGCCAATCTACCTCCGTCAGTGTCTCCTCTCCAGTGCTGACTTCCTGTTTTACTGAGAATGATGTCCTTCTCCAGGGACTGGATTCTCCTGATGATGTGTCAAAGAAAATAAAGTTTCACCATCCTTGATTCTAAGGAGCATTCCAATCATACTTCTTGGCCAAATTTGCTTGTTCTTTTGGCAATTCACCATACTTTCAATATTGATTATTCAAAATGTTATTCTGTGGTCTCCCTTATGCATTGTGCTGATTTCACATAATATGAGGTAATTAAAAATATAATGGCTTGCTTCAGTTGAGCCTGAGTCTTCTAAGTGACATTTTGATCTTTAACACTTTAAAGAGATGCTGTACAACAGATATTCTGTTGTAATACACCTTTTGATTTCTTGACTGCTGCTTCCATGTGTTGATTGTGAATCGTAGTGAAATGTAATTCTTCACAACTCAAACTTTTCCCTGTGTATCACCATGCTGTCAATTGATCCAGTTGTAAGGACCATTTTTACACTGAGTTGAAATCCACAATGGAAGCCGCAATCTTTGATCTTCATCAGCACGTGGTTCATGTCCCCCTTGCTTTCAGCAAGCAAGGGAGCGTCAGCTGCACCTCGCCGGTTGTGAATACGCTTTCTTCCAACCCTACTGCTGCATTCTTTTTCTTGGATTCCAGCTTCTCGGATTATCTTCTCTGCATACAAATTGAGTAAGTATGTTGAGAGTATGGAACCCTGACACCTTTTCTGATTTTAAACCATGCTTTGATTCCTTTATTCTGTTTTAATGAAAGCCTCTTGGTCTGTGTACAGTTCCATATGTTCACGAAGTGCTCTGGAATTCCCGTTCTTTCCAATGTTATCTATAGCTAGCTATTTTCTGTGCAGTCAAATGCCCGTACACACTCAATACAAGTAAACTTGCTTCTGGTAGTCTCTGTTCTCAGGCAAAACAGAACAATGGTATCCCTCCCTCCATGTCCTCTACTGAAGCCAGTTTACATGTCTGGCAGTTTTTAGTTGATGTACTATTACAACCACTTAAAAATGATCTTAAAAAAAAAAAAAAAGATCTTCACCACAATTACACCTGCATGTGCTTCAGTGATATTTTTCAATAATTTCTGATTTCTCTTAGGTACCCTTTTATTAGGATGGGCATAAATATGGCTTTTTTCCAATAGCTTCATCACATAGCTCTCTCCCAACAAGTTAGTGCTTTATCAGCTTGTTGAAATGTTTCAATTGGTGTTCTGTAAATTTCTAGAGACTGTCAGTGCAGCTTGGATTTCTTCCTTCAATACAATTGGTTCTTGATTTATATTACCTTTTGAAATTGTTGAACATCAATCTTTCTTTCTTTTTTCTAAAATGACCCTGTGTATTCTTTCCATACTTTTTGATATTTATTGCATCATTCAGTATTTTGCACATAGAACCCTTTAACACACAAGTAGGGATTATACTCTTCCCTCCATTTCTTTCAGCCTGAGATACACTGGGCATGCTCTTTCCTTGTGGCTTTCTGCCTCCATGTCTTTGCCCAGTCCTGTACAATCGTTTCCTCTGACTCCTAGAGCTCGCCTTGGAAATGTCAGGTTTTGCGCTTTTCCTTGATCATTCCTTCCGTTCACGTCAGCTGCACTATGTTCAAGAGCAAGCTGCAGAGTCTCTTCTGAAATCCACTGTGGTCTGTCAGGTTTTTGAACTGTGGTGGTTAGAGTGTTGCTGCAATGGTCATTGCTATGCCACTGGTTATTTCAAATAACAGCAGGGTTACTCATGGTGAACAGGTGTCTGCAATTTCCAAGTTATGAACAGACTAGGAAAAAGAAATAGTCTGCCCACTTCTGAGGGATTAGCCACTGGAAACCTTGTGAATATAAATGGATAAAACATAATATCGCTGGGAGCGTGGAGTGGAGATCCAAAGCCCATCTGTAGACAATTGAACATTCCCTTACAGAAGGGTCACAAGGAAGAGATGAGCCAGTTCGGGTGCCGTATAGCATTGATGAAATATACAACTCTCCTCTAGTTCTTTAATGCTTTCTTCCCCCAACTATCATGATCCCAATTCTACCTTACAAATCCAGTCAGACCAGAGCATGTACAAGAGTACAGATAAGAGCTGGAAACACAGGGAATCCAGGACAGATAAACCCCTCAGGACCAATAATGAGAGTAGGGATACCAGGAGGGGAAGGGGAAGGTAGGAGGGGAAGGGGGGAACTGATCACAATGATCTGCATATAACCCCCTCCCTGGGGGACAGACAATAGAAAAGTGGCTGACGGAAGACATTGGTCAGTGTAAGACATGAAAAAATAATAATAATTTATAAATTATCAAGGGTTTGTGAGGGAGGGTGGATGGGGAGGGAGGGGAAAAATGAGATGATACAAAGGGCTCAAGTAGAAAGAAAATGTTATGAAAATGACGATGGCAACAAATGTGCTTGATACAATGGATATATGTATGTATTGTGATAAGAACTGTGTGAGCCTCCAATAAAATGATTTAAAAAAAAAAGAAAATGATGATTTGTACAACATATGTACAAAAGTGCTTGACATAATAGATGGATGGATGGGTTGCGATAATTGCTGAATGATCCCCGAATGAAATGATTTTTTTTTTTTAAAAAGAAAGTAAAATTCCCCAAACACAATATTGCTAACATTAAATATTCCCCAACTTGATCCTCGGTGAGAATGCAAAAAAGAGAAAAAAACGAGAGTCATCAAACTCACTGCCATTGAGTCACCGCAAGAGCTAGCGTGCGAACACCCACGGCTTTTACTGTGAGTTGCCAAAATAAGCTTGAGCAGGAAGAAAATTGGAGGACTCACATTTCCCAATTCAAAATTTGGTGCAAGGCTATAGTAATCATAATAATATGAAACTGGTATAAAGACAGAGATACAAATAAATGGACTGAATTGAGAGTCATGAAATAAACCCACACATCAATGGTAAATTGATTTGGAAAGGAAGTACATACCATTCAAAAAGGAAAAAACAGAATCTGTTTATTTTTGCAAGATTGTACTAACTTAATTGGATTTTTCACATGTAAAGAGTGAAGTTGGATCCTTATATTTTATACGAAAATTAACTCAAAATGGATCAAAGACCTAAATGCAGCAACTAAAAGAATGAAAATTCGAGAACATTTCATGAGCATGTGGAACTTGTACATACAGCAAGAAGTATTCACTGAAACAGAATAAAGGAAATACATTAACAAAAATAAAAGGAAATAAAACTCAGAAGAAAATTACAAGGAAAAATAATCAAGACTTTGGATTAGGTAATAATTTCTTAAATATGATACCAACTGCTTAAAAAATACAAAATAAAGAAATAGATGAATTTATTTTTTTCCAAATTAAACTTGTGTATCCAAGGATGCTATAAACAAAGGAAAAGATAACCTATAAGAACGGGAGAAAATATTTGCAAATCATGTATTTGATAAGGGTCTAATATTTTTGATTATATAAAGAACTCTTGCAACTCAACAACAAAATAGATAACTCAATTTACAAAGAAGCAAAAGATCTGAATTGATATTTCTCCAAAGAAAAGTCATAAACTATCAACAAGCACATGAAAGACTATCCAGCATAATTCCAAACTACAAAGTCACTGCCATCAAATCGACGCTGACTCCTAGCAATCCTATAGGACAGGGCAGCACTTCCCTTGTGAGTTTCCGAGACTAACTCTTTACAGGAACAGAAAGTCTCCTCTTGCTCCCTCAGAGGGACTGGTGGTTCCTAAGTGCTGCCTTTCCCTTCCCCGCCCAATGTGTAACTCCCATGCCACCGGGCATTTCAGCGCAGTCAGTCATTAGCAATGCTATGTGACATCAAGGTGGCTGGGGCACGCAGGAACTCTGTACAGAATGAAACCCTGCCTGTCCTGTGCCCTCCTCATATGTAACGCTGCAGCTGCGTGTCTGCCCTTCTCCGTGAGGGCCTTCCACTTTTTCACAGCCACTAGGATGGTCAAGTTAAAAGCAAAAAACAAGGTATAAAATGACAAGTGTTGACAAGATGTATAGGAGAAACTGAAATCTTCACACATTGCTAAGACGGCGGAACTGCTACGGAAAACATTTCATGGTTCCTCAATAAATGGATACGACAATGATCAGACAGCCCAGCAATTCCGATTGCCGGCACAGGGCTCTAAGAAGTGAAAGCAGCTACTCACGCAGATACCACGGAAACATCCACGCAGCCAAGCACAACAGTCAAAGAACGGAAAAACAGTAACTGCAAAGCAACACAAACAACCAAGGTCCACTAACAGATGGATGAATCGATACAATGTAATACATACAACAGAATGCTAGCTAGTTATAAAAAGGAATGAAGTACTCTACATATTACAAGGTGCATGAACCTTGAAACCATTAGGAGAAGCCACATATAGATTAATTTATAAGAAATATCCAGGCTAAGCAAACCCATAGAGATGAAAAGCAGATTGGCAGTTTTCAGAAACGCAGGGAAGGGGCGTGACTGAGTAGCTTCCCAATGCTTAAGGGGGCTCTGAGATCCGGGAGTGATGAGAGCTACACAATACAGGGAATGTGATGCAGACCACCGAATTGCAAACTTCAAGACGGTGACAACAGCAAATGGTATGTTATGTGTACTTCACAGTACTTAAAAGTTTGTAGTTAAATAGTCCATTTATAATTTTAATATTGATTACATGTTAATATTACAACAGTATTGGGCTAAACAAAATATATGATTTGAAGAAAGGTAAGAAAGGAGGGAAGAAGAGAATGAAGTAGGTACTTCTATGATAAAGACGACACAAGATTTTAACTGAAGGTCAGAAACAGATCTCTAGGGTTTAGCAGACATTCATAAAAACATGACAGCTACATTGGTCTCACCATCACTATTGATGCACACGACCTCTTGAACTTGAGTGCCTGGCCCACACTCCTTTCCATTATCCGGTTCACAGTCTCCGAGCCTCACTGCTTTCCACTCATAGCAGGATGGCTCCTCGCAGGGAATGGCTTCCAGCAAGTGAGGGCAGTTTTCAGGGCTCCCAGTGCCGCCGCGAGGCTCATTGGTGATGTGCCGCTTTCTCAATTTGAAACCTGTTATTGGAAGAAAAAATAAAACAGATGCAGACATTGTTACCATCCGGGGTTAGGTATTTCAGAAATCAGAACTAAACCATGGATTGAAAGCTTACTGAATGAATAAGTCATATATCTTTGAATCACCCATATAGCCCCCAATTCTGACTTAATATGATGAACTCTTACTAATTATTTAGTAAATCAATATGAGTGAATCACCTAAAAGACAAAAAAAGGAGAGTGTTTGATTTTAGCTTATTACATGTCTCCCTCTCATGGCCTGGGGCTTGGGGAGAGGTAAAGGGTACATAGAGACATATTTTAGTTTATTTGGAAAATCTAGAGTTGTAAAACTGTCAAAGAAGCAATTAAATCTTTTACTCAGGAATATTCATGAGCAGACAGAAACCATAGTTTGATATCTTCAATTTAGAAAAGGATCTGGCTAGTTTACATGATCCCAGAAAAAAACATGCCAGTGGGTGTTTTAAATCTGGACGTTGACATCGTAATGAAACCACTTGGGCAGCATGATGTGACGTACTCATAGTCTTCCCTTGTGCGGTTATTACCTGTGGGTTGTTCTTGAAACACGGACTACAAAATTAATAGTCTGTTTATGGCCATGTGAACATTTGAGAATCATTAGGAAATAGCATTTTAAACAAAATAGGAAAATGTTTTCAATTTCTAATCATGGAAAATGATAAAAATTAGCTCATTAAGCAGAGTACATAGTAAACAATTTCATTTATTCTACTCCTTTTAGGCATAAAATTTGCATTATAAATGTAATAGGATGTTTTTTGTTTTTCTTTTTCCTTTAAAGTAATGGATGCTCTTTATTGGATACTTGCTATGGGCCAGGGATAGAATATAATGTTTTAAATTTATTATTTCATTTAGTATTTAGGCAAATCTAGGTGGCAAGTATTAGTACATCCTATATGAATAAGGGCAACGATTTAAGTGAGTGAATTAACTTACCTGAACAAGAAGAGGAGGAGCAGGTCTTCCAATCCAGGTCAGCCCGACATCACAGACAGCTTATCTTAACCGCTGTCTTTGAGTATCTTATCAGCTGTCTGCATTAACAATCATCTGGCCCATGTCCTTCGGTTTTATATTTTAACACTATCACCAGAAGAGGCTTATTCAATCTTGTTCATTTTAACAAACAGTAACTTTTAGCCATTATGGAAGACATTACAAATTAGCAATCAAGAAACACAGAGGACCATTTTAATACAATCAATGATTTGATTGACTTGATGGGAGCTTTAAGAGCATCTTGTCAGTGTTACATACCTTTTTTGCCTTGTTGGTCATTACAGTTTTCATAAGTACAAGGGCCCCAAGCTGACCAGGGCGAAACCTCACATTCAATTGGACATGGAATGTGGCACAGCTGTGTAGTATTGGGGACTGGGCCAGTGCATAATTTCAAGTCTACTGGTTTTGAAGCTGTTGGGAGAAAAATACAGATTCCTTAAGAAATTAGGTAGAAAGAAATCATCTAGATAAAAATGAATGTATTATTTTTGGTGGCAGTATATACAATCATATATAAACCCATTTAAAATGTCTACATAGACAGTTCCATTATCATCGGTTACATTCTTCACATTGTCTCTCCGCTCTGTTTCTACCAATATTGTTTCATCCCCTTTGATTTTGGTCCTAATTAAAGTCCTCCTCTGTGCTTTGGCTTAACTATTGTCAGATTGCCTTCATATACAGAGCCATTCTTTATGAATTAGGTTAAATGCTGTCTAGTTGAATGAGGGCTTTATGTAAGACTTTCTATTCAAGATTTAAAGATTATTTTTAAGAATTAGATTTTGTGGTCCTCCCACTCTCAATGGCTCCAGTAGGTCTGGTTCCCAGAGGAGTCTGAAGTTCTGCTGCATGATTTTCCTCTTTTTATCAGGATCCACCAATTGTGGTACTGATCAAAACACTCAGTTATGGTAGCTGGGTGTCATCAATTTCTTCTGTCTCAAGATAACAGAAATAGTAGTTTATGCTGGCATTTAGACATGCAGTTCATTTGCTGCTCTGACTGCTGGGTCTCCTCCTTCTTAGCTGTTGCAGGTGGGTAGAGCCCAGTTGTATTTTGGGTGGCCACTTGCAAGCTTTGAAGACTCCAAATGCTATTGACGGACAAAAACTCTTTAACAATAACATTAGGGCAATTTACTGGATGGATTTCTCAAGTTATGATCTATGCCTTCATACTAAGAAAATTAGTACCGTGAAGTTTTTAATTGTGTGAAAAAGATGAGGTTTTCTATTCCTGTACAGAGTTAGTCTGGAAACTCACAGCAGGAAATCTATCCTCGCCTATACAATAGGTACTGTTTATACTCCAGTAAAAGCCAACCCGAATATCAGCTGCAGCACCTAATTTTACCACAAAGTCCGCATTTAAAATGTGCTGGAAATACTCGGCTTATACACAAGTATATATGGTATAAGTCAGAATCGATTCGATGGCAGTGAGTTTGGTTCAAATACTGTCTAAAGAGCCCGAGTAGGCAAGGGCTAGACTGCTCATTGAAAGGCTGGTTGTTCAAACCCACAAACTGATCCACAGGAGGAAAACGAAATGATCGGTTCCAGTGAGGATTTACAGCCTGCCACACACACAGGATCTCCACGAGCTGTCACTGACTGATGGGGGTTTGTCATATCTTCAGTCACAGTTTTTCTGCGTTTGTATCATTGTAAAGTGATATGACATACTTTATCTTTATTTGTCCTTCCCCTCAACCCCAGCATATTGTTTATGGCAGGAGTGTCAAACCGGCGGCCCCGCGGGCCACATGCGGCCCCCGAGGTAATTTTTTGTGGCCCACAATGCTCTGAAATAAAATGTAACAAAGAAATTGTGTTTATGGTATTGCCTCGATCTCCCCTAAGCGCTGTTTTCTTCACAACAATTTTTTCTATTTTCATTTTATTTCAGAGCATTGCGGGTCACAAAAAATTACCCCGGGGGCCGCATGCAGCCCGCGGGCCACCAGTTTGACCCCCCTGGTTTATGGTAACACCGCCATGAGCCTGTAAACTAGAGTATGTTTCTCCCCTACAACACACAGGATTGCCATGAATTGGACTCTCTTCAACAGCAACAGGTTAGGTTTGTTTGTTTTTATTCTTTAAAAGTGGAATCTGCTTTAGAGAACTGACCCCAGGAGGCGAGTGGCTACAGCTACACGGAGGAAGGAAAACGAAGAAGCCTTGGGAAAAGCACTTTCCCTGCCCACTGGTTCGCGGCTGTAGGGATACCGTGGTTCTCGACCTACCTAATGCTGCGACTCTTTAGTGCAGTTCCTCACGTGGTGGTGACTCCCCCACCATAACATTATTTTCGTTGCTACTTCATAACTGTCATTTTGCTACTGTTATGAACCGGGTGGCCCCTGTGAAAGGGTCGTTCGACCCCCAAAGGGGTCGCGACCCACGGGTTGAGAACCGCTGCTGTAGTTGGACATGATGAGGGATGAGCTCATGACATCAAAAGGGGTCACTCTCTTCACCTCTATCTGTATGACAACTTCCATAACTCTTGACCAAAGACATTATCTGCACATATGACCTAGAACTGCTACATATTAATATATGACTATTATTTTTGATAAATTGGCAATGAATTATGGCAACTGCTACTTGCTCTTGCCTCACGTCTTTTGTACAGCACATATATTTGGCTCATAATGTCATTTTTCTAACAATTTGATCACAAATGTCTATAGATGATATTTAAAACTATATATGCAGGAGAAGAGAGTAAGATTAGCTATCCACTCACTCCTCATTTATTGACTATCTTATTATCTGACACTTCACATTTGCAACAATAGTAAAACTGTGCTATCTGACTTTTACCCATTAACAATGTATGTCAGGCAATAACAAATGAAGAGGTGTGAGGCAGTAACCATGCTGACTATGATGATCACGGTTATGTGCTGACTTGATGGGGCCATGGTTCTCAGTAGTTTGACTGTTATATAAAAATATAACTTGGAGCTTAGGTAAGAATATACTCATGCTCTATTTTGTGCTCCAATGCGCACCTTTCATTTCGCAAAATGATTATTTTCACATAAGACCTATCTTAGGAATCAGTCATGTTGACAAGTGAGGAGTGGGTTTATATTTCAAATATTGACAGTATAATTACTTTGTTCTAAAAATAATTAACAAATAAATGTCTTGAACTCATATAAAAAATAAAATAAATCCAGTTCTTGTTTGCTGCTGATATGTATTGATTACATAATCCAGAACTTGCTGTGGGGCTAATTGTAGTGCTGGGGGAGGTGGTGTTGCTTTGTTTAAGGATTATCGCGTGTAGTAATGCTTGAGGACACTGTTGCTTCTCTTGGCGGTTTACTCAGCACCCAGTTGCACCTGCCCTCCAACAATACTCTGTTCACAATAGAGAACAGGGAGCATTCTCACTCATTCTCACTGCTGCTAATGTGCATCAGAACTTCAACCAAAGTGCGAAATAACTAGTTTTGGTTCTTTCTAACATTAAAAGAACTTGGCATTGGTAGGCAACTGGATACCCCCTTACTGAAGGGTTGTGGGGAGGAGATGAGCCAGTCAGGGTGCAGGGTAGCAACAATGAAACATAAAACTTTCCTCTAGTTCTTAAATTCTTCCCCCCCCCCCACTATCATGATCCCAATTCTACCTTACAAATCTGGCTAGTCCAGAGGATGTACATTGGTACAGACAGCAACGGGAAACACAGGGAATCCAGGACAGATGACCCCTTCAGGACCAGTGGTGAGAGTGGCGATGCCTGGAGGGTGAAGGGAATGCGGGGTGGAAGCGGGGAACTGATTATAAGAATCTACGTATAGCCTCCTCCCTGGGGGATGGACAGCAGAGAAGAGGGCGGGGGAAGATGTCGGACAGTGTAACATATGACAAAGTAATAATAATTTACGAATTATGAAGGGTTCACGAGGGAGGGGTGGTTGGGGAGGGAGGGGAGAAATGAACAGCCGATATGAAGGGCTCAAGCAGAAGGCAAGTGTTTTGAGAATGATGATGGTAACAAATGTACAAATGTGCTGACACAATGGATGTATATATGGATTGTGATAGGAATTGTACGAGCCCCCAATAAAATGATTTAAAAAAAAAGAAAAGAAACACATGAAGACATAAGTCAATAAAGCTTTATATGTAAAAAAAGAAAAAGAACTTGGCTCAACAGTGAGTGAAAAAGATGTAAACAAATGCTTTATTTTCTCTAAGTATAAGAAAGGATGGCATCATGACAAACATTTCACAGAACAATGTTGTCTTACAGTCCCTAGAGGCAGAAGTCTTCAGTGTGTAGGAAACCCCCTTTAACAACTAATAAACGTCAGTTTTTAGTTTCACTTGTGGGATTTACTGTTAAGAGACCATTTAAATTAGCAGCTGTGCTTATAGTGAGCTGAATATGCTCCTCTTTTTTCTTTCAATTGACTAAAATTACCTATAAACTTTCATGCTATTATATTGTTAGATAATGGTTACTTTAAATTGAAGTCACTGGAGCATGCAATTGTGAGGAATTTGGAGCCTACAGAAATTAATATCATACATAATATGGAAAACTATGTTACTAATTCCTAGCTATTTGTGAGTTTAATTTTGTCATTTGCTATATTTTGAATGAATCAGTCAACAATCTTCTCGAGCAACTAAAAGTGAAACAAATGCACAGATTCACGTGGTAGTACTGCTGCAGAGAAATATGCTTGAGGGCTACATGGTTGTATCACTAAACCAACCAAGTCAGCACTGAGATAATTCTTCACTATTACCTCTCTGTTGTAGATGGTCTTTTATATAGCTAAAGTTCTCTTAGTAATAAAAAGATAAAGATAGATAGCCAATGTGTCTCTTTGTGTTTAGTTCTATTTTTGGTGACTTTCATTATAGGTTTCCTTGTACGTAGCATAACTAATAATTACTGTAAATCACAGATACAAGCTGAAATGCTCATGAACTGTAAGTCCACTACAATGAGAGGACACTCAGTAAATCTTCCCGGGTTCCTGGTTAAAGTTAAGATGGCTGCTTCTGAAACACGCCCTGCAGATTTAATTGAGAAATTTTGAGATATAATTTCTGTAGCTCTTTATTACATAACACAATGTTTACTGCTGGTTTCATATTCTCAATTCAATTACTGAGTACCCGAGTCATTACTCTTCTATAATTTTACTATTTAAAAAAATTTCTCAGGTTCCAGTGAAATGTATCTAAGATGTTTTAACACCTCAGTGCTATATCTTGAACAAAACAGACAATTTATTATTAGATGATTTAAGGAGCCCTGGTAGTATATTAGTTAAGCACTTGGTTGCTAACAGAAAGGCCAAGGGTCTTGGGAGACAGATGAGGCAGCCTCCTTCTATAAAGATTTACAGTCTTAGAAACCTCATGGG